TTGTATCTTAAGCTTTCTTGGCTTCTGTGATTCCAAAAACGTCGACTGCTGACGTTTTTCTTTTGACCAGTGTCTCTTAAGTTTAGTTGTACTTTCTCCAAGGGAAGTTGACGTGTCCTGTAGAACTCTTGTGTAGATTATGTTTTCCTTTCTGCCGAGGGCCCGCTGGGTTTTGCTGGGTCTGACCTGGAAGACGACTCCTTTGCTGTTATCAGAGGGGACCCTGCCCAGTGACGCCTTCTCCCTCCCTCTCTGGCCAGGTTTCGCTGTGTCTGACCTGGAAGAGGACTCCTTTGCTTTTATCCGAGGTGACCTTGCCCAGTGACGCCTTCTCCCTCCCTCTCTGGCCGGGTTTCGCTGTGTGATCCTAGGGAAGAATATTTTAGGGTAATGGTAGACATGAAAAGGCCAGAAGGAAGGAAATAAGCTTTTATTGATCATCTTCTCTGTTCCAGGCACTGTGCTGGTTACTTATATATTTAATCCAATAACTTAACTAGATTGTGACCATATCTATGGAGAAAACGAAGCAAGGGGAAGATGAGGGTAGTGGTAGCTCAGTGGCAGAATCCTTGCCATCTACTTAGAAGGTGTGTGTTTTAGTTCTGCCCAGTGCATCTCAGTAACAGCCACCACCAGTTGTCATGGAGGCTTGCATGCTGCTAGGTTTCAGAAAGCCTTACAGAGAGACTAGAAAGAAGACCAGAAAGCAAAAAACACCAACAAAAAACAAAACACCCCAGTGTTCTAGTTATCCAGTACTGCTATAACAGAGAAAGGACAGATGGATGGCTTTAACACACATAAATTTATTCTATCACAATGAGTTCTGGTGGCCTAGTGGAAAGAAGCTGAACTGCAATCCTAAAGGGATGCAGTTCAAGGCCACCAGCTGCTCTGTGGGAGAAGGATGGGCAATTTCCTCCCATGTGATTAACTGCCCCTGAAAAGCTGCCAGAGGTTCAGCTATCAGTCTGTTTTGACTCCATGGTACACAACCACCACCACCACCACAACTTAGTAGGCTACAAGTCCAAATCCAGTGTCCCGGGGTCCAGGAAGGCTCTCTCTCTGTAGCTCCTGGTTCTAAGAATTTAGGCACATAAGCCTACATTCAAATCTAGCACTCTTTCCCGCTGATGCTGTAATCTTCTTTCTCTGCGAGATGAAAGGTGGTGCAGGTCACATCTCCAAGAAACTTCCTTTCATCAAATCAGGGCTGTAACTTAAATAAGCATTTCAGATTCAGCCACAGAGGATGATGACATTGTTACATAAGGGTCTCTAATCCTGCAAGTTGTTATTAGTGTCATTTTATCAACCCCAACTTATAATGACCTGATACATTATAGAACAAAATTTGCCTGATTCCGAACCATCTTCAAAATCTCTGCTGTACTTAAACCTACTGCTTCCGTTACACTGTAAATCCATTCTATTAAAGCTCTTCCGTTCTCTCAATTACTCTCTTCTCTAAGTATGCTGTCCTTCTCCAGAAGTTGGCCCCTCCCAAAAGTACGCCCAAAGTAAGTGAGATGGATCTCACTATCCTTGATTCTATAGAGCACTCTGGGGGCATTTCTTTGAAGGCAGATTCACTTGTTCTTCTGGCAGCCTATGATCATACATACAACCTTTATCAAGACCACAGTTCAAAGTCATCAATTATTTGGTCTTCTTTATTCACTGTTTAACTGCACATGCATATGAAATAATGAGAAAATATCAGGTCTTGAGTCATGTACACTTTAGTCTTTAAAGTGACACTCTTTCTCGTTAGCACTTTAAAAGAAATCCTTGATAGCAGATTTACCTAATGCCATATATCACTTGAATTCCTGACTTCACTTCGATGTTGATAGTGCAGATGGGTAAAATGGAAAACCTTTATCTTTTCTGTTTATCATGCTGTTGATTACTGATCTAGTTGTATGAGAATGTTTGTATTTTCTTGATATTGAGATGTAATCACCTGAAGACTACAGTCTCTGATGTTTTTCAGTAAGTGCTCCAGGTTTCCTTGCAAACAAGGTCACCACCTACACATGCAGGTTGTTAATGAATCATCCTTCATGCCACATTCTTCTTTGTATAGTTCACAGTCAGCAAACAGAGACTAATCTTGTGTAGAGGTTAGAGATTACAACATAGGTTATTTTCTAAAATTAAGAATCATGGCCTCACCCAGTCAACACACACGTTTTTTTGAATATGTAATTCAATCTGATCTGAACATGAATTCCATCTGAACAGATTTGATCTGACACTGGCTGTAGGGATGGTGCAGGGTGGGACAAGATTATGTTTTGTGAGAGGACAAGGAGTCACAGGCCATCTTGACACAACAAACAACAAAAAGGGGAAACAGAAATGTTAAAGGCTGATGAGGAAACACTGCACAGGACAGTGGTGTTTGAGGAGAAAGTAAGTTTAAATAGGGCAAATAAGTTTGACTTCAAAACGAATGCTTTTGATACGAAGGGAGAAATACATACAGCTACTTTCTGACCTTTGGGCCTGTGGCCTTTAAGCACTGGTGAAATCAGTTTTGTTACAGAGCAGTTATGTTCTTTAAATCCTCATGAACACTAAATTAGCTAGAACCAAACACCACCCTGGGTCAGCCTGCATGGATAATTCTACCATTCTGTACATATGTCTATGAGTTACCATGAATGTGCAACAAGCTATTTTTATTGAAAATGTTAGTCTATGAATGTAGAATGCTAAAATAGTGATGAGACCCTCCAAACCTCCTTGTACAGCTGAAAGGAACCTACCAAGAGGGAGCATCGACGTGAAGGAGGGAGTAACTCAGCCTGGCCCACCCACCAGCCCCTCCAGGAAGAACTCTGGGATTGGTACTCACACAAAGCACATGGAGGACCACGGCCCCTTGTCTTCTGTCTTCATTGCTGAAGATGTCCCTGGGGAACTCGTGCAGGGCTAGAGAGGAGAGAAAAGCAGCTCAGTAGAGATAAAGGCCACTGTCAGAGCTGTAGAGCTGAGATAGTCAACAGTCCTGATTTCAACACGGCATCCATAAACTTGGATGGGGAAAAACATACATCTTTATTTTCATGAATCTCTAACTGGAACTTAGAATCTCCTTTAGAGAAAAATGCCTGGCCACCAGCCACAAAAGTGTTAGAACTAGGGGCTCTGCCTCAGAAAGTATCTTCACAACCTATGGATTTGGGACATGCTGTGTCCACAACCACATGAGACATTTCTTTGATGGTTTGTGAGTTTCTGTGAGATGCTGCAGCAAATTACAGAACCTAGAGGCATAGAGGGGAAGGTGGGAGCTGAGGGGAAGAGGAATAGCTGATGTTAGACATGATGGGGTGATACAGCACTTTGGAAAAGGTGGGCACATGAGACATCTTTAACCTCTGCTTCCTAGGAACTTTGTATATTTCATTCTAAAAGAATGTGCTCATGCAAGTCCTCTATATTGTGTTGTATCCACTGAAAACAGTTTTCTAAGAATAAATTCACCACGAGGGCCAGGAAACAAAAACACTTAAGGACCCTTTGCCCTAGTTTTTAATTTTCTTCTTTTCCATTTCCTTTGCACTTTCATTGGTTTGGGCCCTTGGAATCTTTGCATATTACAAAAACTTCTTCACTGTTCTTTATACTTAATTATCTTTTCCCAAAAGACCTATATTTGCTTCCAGACTCACCATGAATCTGGGACTGTACATACCCTCCACCTTCCCAAAAGCCTTCAACAAACAACATAGCTGTAGAATCCACCGTGCCTTGTGGGAACTCCACATGTGCATTATAGACTGATACTCCACGGGGTTGGGACAGATCACCAACCAGACCTCTCCTCTGAAAGACCTCCTGATAGACTTTAATCTCCTGACTTTTAGTTAGCAGCTAAGTACATGAACCATTTATAGCATTCTGAGTTTTCAAAACTCTTCAATCTCCTAAAATAAAAGCCTCAAATCTTTAGATAAGTAGCCTTGAGCTGGTCCTGGCTGATTCCCATCCAGGCCTGCCTGCTCTCTCATTTTATACTTTGAATGGTTTAATCACTCAGACAATGACCTACTGTGTGTCAAGCCCTGAGTCAGTTGTTGGAAATTTGCCAGTATCATATGTGTTCATATTCCCACCAAATAAAAATAATTTGTCATCCTTGGGCACACCCTACAGTTTATTTCTTTGCATGCCTTTGTTTTCTTATTTACTTATCTACATAGGTTTCAACTCAGAATATGCCTGATCCCCAGTGTAGCTCTCTGGCTCTACCTCTCCTGTTAATCTTTGTGGTCTGGTTCTAACATTACTGCCTCCTTGATAAACACCCCCTGCACCAGCCCTCCAGCAGGAATTTGTTGCTCCTTTCTTTGGAGGGGTTTAAAGATTAGGTGTTGTTGAAAGCAGTCTGCAGCAGGCTCCTTCCTCAGCCCATTTTCCACAGACATCATTAGTCGATGTCTCGGTCAACATGACGTACTGAGAGCCTTGCATGAAGTTTCCTAGTCTCTCTCCAGCTAGTTTCCAGAGAAACTCTTAACAGCTGATGAGGATGCCTGTATGCTCCTGCATAACAAGTAGTTACACTTGTCAGCCTACTCAGATCCTCTTAATTGGGCTAGTGGCTCTATCCTTATTATGGTAAATATTCTGTCTTTCAGAATGCACTTTTCTTCAAAAGACTGCCATCCACATGCATGTGAATGCTGATAATGAATAAGAAGACTGAAGAAGAACTGATGCCTTTGAAAAGCGGTGTTGGTTAAGAGTACTGAATATAACTTGGGCTGCCGAAAACATAAACCAGCTGGAGGCAAGGATGGTGATACTCTGACTGCGGCCATGCCAAGAAGCATAAATCTTCAGAAAAAAGCATCATGCTTGGAAAAGCAGAGGGTCAGTGAAAGAAAGGAAGACCCTCAGCAAATTGGATTAACTTGGTGGCTGCACCAATGGGTCTGAACATGGTCAAGGTTATGAGAATGGTGGAAGATAAGAAAAGGCTTCAGTATGAGGTTCACAGGGTCAGCAGGAGTTACAGTCAGCTTGACAACACCTAACAATCCTTGCTACCTCTCTCAGAAATGTCTGAAGTTTAAGGCCTTTCTCCATGAGGGGTCTGAAGCCACTGCCTGACTGATTCAAGCCAAGTCCGTTCTAACTCATGATCACAGTAGACACACATGGTAGGTCCACAGGATTTTCAATGAAGAAGTTTCAGAAGTGGATTTTCTTCCAAGTAACTTCAAGTGGAATTGAACTTCTAAAGGTTTGATCAGCCGTCAAGGAATTTTTATCACCCTAGTACTCCAAAATGAAGTTAAGATCTAAAAAACGTGAAACCACAGAAGGTGCTGTGAGGTGACAAGGGTCCATAGAAGACACCAAATGTCCATTCATCAGACTGCAGACATTGTAGCGAGTTCAGCAATTTCACTGGGATGCTTCAATTCCAGCTGCCTCTTCCTATAGAACTAATCCTTTGGCTGGTGGTGCTGTCACTTTGTCCCACTGAACTCTCTAGTCTCCTTAATGAGAACCCTGATATTCCACTTCCACTCTATATACCTCACTGCTGATGACAAAGTCCTCGGCAGGTCTGGACCTCTCCCCTCTTCTTTTCCTGACCTTCTGTACACTGAATATCTTATGCTCTCAAGAGAAGTCCACTTAGTTCTGTCCTCTGAACTTCTCTTTAACTCACTACAGGAAAGTGAATTTTGGCCCAAGTAACCACCACATGCCTCCTCCATTGTCCTTCTTTTCTCAAGAAATCTACTGTGGTCAAAATCATGAATAATATTCCCACTCTCTGGGTCTGAGGGGAGAAGTTCAGAGTGAGCAAGAAGAAAGGCCTGAGAAACAGCTTGACTGCATTCTCTTGGGCACCTAGGTGCCTACCATTCATAGCACAGGAGCTGAAAGGCTAATACCTGCGTGTGCTTGCCAAAACTTGCCCTCTACTCTTTGAGGCTGAGAACACTGAATCTGGTAGCCACTGTGCACATTTTCCAGTTTCTTCTCTGGTGGCCCCTTTGTTTTGCATTCATTCTCACTGTTCTTGTGATGGGGACAGAGGGGCCGAGGAAAGGCTGAAAATGGACCATAAAGAGTTGTTGTGAAGGTTCTGAAGGAGGACAAATGGTTGAGGACACATTTTTTCAGTGATGACACCATGGCATAATTAATGAACAACTGCTTCAGGACAGCACATGCGCTGCACCTGATACCAAGAGTTCCTTTTGATCCTCAGTTGAAACCACAACTCCCATTGTACAAGACAGTTCACAGATGCTAGCAAGAATGCTACAGAGGCTGCAAACCTGGAAAATCCAGTACTGTGGGCATCTGCATAGCTCCTTGGCTCCTTCCTGACATCTACCTGCAATGGTCTCCTCCCTGTGACCCTTGCCCTCTTCTCATGACTTCCTCCTAGAAGGCAGTGGGGGAGCATACTCTACCTTTCTCCATGGTGCTGCCACAAAGTTCCATGCACTGGCCAGTTCCATAACTTGAATGTCATCATCCTGTTGCCTCTTCCACATCAAAATTCCAACTATCAAGATAATTTTTTTTTTATCAAAATAACTCATCACTTGTGGGAAGTGAAGCTCTGGTTTGTCCTGAGTTGTTATCAATCAAAGGAATTACACTTATAAATTAAAAATATATTACAATCACAGAGAAAAAGATCAAGACAGAAGTATAAGAGGAAGTATATTTTGCCCTAAACATGTAAATAAAATATTTCTTTACTTGCATCCCTATGGACTTCCTACACAAAGAATGATGGTGCTTTAAGCAAAACTGTGAAGGGGAGAAAACAGCATGAGAAAGAAAGAGGTAGCATAAGTCCACACCCATAGTAAGTCCACAAGCAGGGCTATTTCAGACCTCCTCACCTCCCCGCCTTTCATCCATGAGGTAAGCCAAAGAGGAGGAGCTCAACAGCCATGGCGTGCACCCCCTCAGTAAGTGATGAACTGATGTTCTGAATCCAGGTATTTTGATTTTAGGTTTTTTTGTCATTCAACAAACGGAGCTGCATGGATGAGATGACAAGGGGGAAAATGGACCCTATTTGGCTTCAGTTTTGTTGGTGGGGAAAGGATCTAGTCAAGTATCTGAGTGTCTATAGTAGAGGGCCTGCAAAGGAGAAGGAGATCCTTGACAAGATGGATCTGGAAAATGGCATCATCCTTGGAAAAGCAGAGTCAGTGAAAGAAAGGAGGAGACAGACTGACAGTGATTACAATGGTGCAGAATAGAGCCAGGTTCAGAGTGTTGTTCACAGAGTAGCTAGGAGTCATAGTCGACCTGATGGCACCTTAAAAAACTGGCAATACATATTATGTATCTATGTGTGTCTCCTGGAGGTAATCATGCTGGAGACTATGGATAAGAGAGACCCAAAGAACCCAGCACTGGCTCTGGAACAGTCAGTGGTGTCCTAGTTATGTAATGCTGTTATAACAGACACCACAACCAGAAGTCTTTAATAAGCAGAAATTTATTCTCTTACAGCCTACAAGACCAGAAGTCTAAATTCAGGGTGCTGGCCCTAAGCAAGGCAGTCTTCCCATGTCAGTTCTGGAGGAAGACCCTAGTCTCCTTTAGCATCTGTACACCTGGTGTTCCTTGGGGATTTTCCTATGTCTGGACCTTCCCTCTGCTGATGTATTTCCAGGAACAGGGACCCTGATCCAAAGGATATAGTCCAAGCCCGATGTTGTTTCTTGTTAACACTGAAATCCCTTCTCTGCTTCTTTCTTTTCTCCTTTGTCTTTTGTGACAGAAAAGGTGGTATAGGCTCTACCACAGGGAACTCACCTCTCACCTGATCACGGATGTGACCTAATTATGATGTCAGAAGCCACACTAATCCCCTTACAACCAACTAGCTAATAACGTATCAGATATTATCATGGACATGTCTACATTGTTATGTA